TTTCCTGCATCATAAGGTCAAGATTGGTCAGGTGATTTGAACACTGGAGATTTATGAAGCATACAGAAATTTCCCCACAATGTTTGTTTTGAGTTGTCTCGAGGCATACATCACTGTCTTTATTAATAGTTATTGCAGTGGCAAATACTTGACCCTTAACTCTATTGACCCTGACTTGCCAGATCCGGTTAGCCAGGACATAGAAAGATTAAAGGGTTATCATCTGCTTTATATTTCTTATAAGCAAATATAGCTGCTATGTGAGGAAAGCTCAAACACACCTGCAAGCTCCACGGTCATCAAGTAGTTTGCTGAAGGTGAGTGACGTGTCATCAGTGCAAACTGGAAAGGACTTAAATGGATATCCTCCTCCCTGAGCAGTGACAACATTCTTATCTCCAAACACTTCAGGATAACGGATGTTAATGCAGCAGGATTGAAGCTCTCATTAAACTTCATACACACAAAATTTTCCATTTGCAGTAACAGTCACACGAGCAGCTCTGTTCTGCTGTCTGGTAAAGTAGTGCATGTGAATCACTTACTGATATCAAGCTTAAACAAGAAAATTCATTTGTTAAGTATGAAAAAAATCATAGTTATGTATGATAAAGTTTGTTTAAATGGAATGGAAAAAAATGTAATTGTATAGTATGTGTTGGGGTGATTTTCTTTATCCATTCATGTCATCCTTGAGGGTGGTGGAGCTGTGTCTCTCAAATACCTTGGATACTTTGGTGCTAGATTTCTGGAGCCATGGGCCTCTGACAACCATCCTCAACAAGGACCTTGTTTCACATCACTCAGGCTCCCAAAATATGTTGTGCTTTGTTTATACCCTACATGGACTCTCCTTCAGGTCAACAAGATGCAAGCAGAATGTTTGGAAACGTGGACGGCTATATATATCTGAGCAGTCTCAGACCAATCTTTGATACACATGATGAAGCTGTATTCCAGATCTGCAACCAGTAAAGCTTGTCAAAATGATAATTTGTGTGGACCTTCCATTCTTTAAAGTGTAAACATGGGCTAGGCATCCATACAGTATCGTAAAAATATCATAGTATAGTATGTTAAAATCTTCATATCTTGGCATTAGAAAAAGTTTACATTTTAGTATGAGAAAAATATCATAGTATAGTATGTTAAGATCTTCATATTTTGTGTATAAAACAAATGCTTTTTAGTATAAAAAAGCCATGGTATAGTATGATCAAGATGTCATAGTGTAGTATGTTAAAAACTTTTGTATGAAAAAAAATCACAATTTAATATGAAAAAGTCATAGTGAAGTATAATAAGAATGTAATAGCATTGTATGTTAAAAATTTCATATTTTTGTTTGTTTTAGTATTAAAAATGTCATAGTTTAATATAATAAAGATGTGTTATTTTGGTTTAAAAAAATACTTAGTTATGAAACGATATATTTATAGTAAAGTATTATAAAAGTTTCATATTTTGGTATGAAAACCAGTTATATTCTTGTATCAATAAAATGCAAAATATAATATGATCAAAATGCTTTAGTTAATGGTTTAGTTTGTTACCATGTTTTAATATTTTTGTATGAAATAAAATCATATTTTAGTCTGAAAAAATGTCATAGTATAGTATGATCAAAATGTAATGGTTTAGTTTGTTGCCATGTTTTAATATTTTTGTATGAAATAAAATCATATTTTAGTCTGAAAAAATGTCATAGTATAGTATGATCAAAATGTAATGGTTTATTTTGTTACCATGAACAATTTAGTATGAAAAAAATGTTATAGTATAGTTTGTTCAAAATATTATTGGATTGTATTTTACAAATAACAAAATTGTGTATAATATATATATATATATATATATATATATATATATATATATATATATAAATATTTTGGTATAAAAAAATGTCATAGTACAGTATGATCAAACTGTCATGGTATAGTATGTTACCATTTTTTAATTTTTTTTTTATAAAAAAATTCATATAATAGTATTTGAAATGTCATAGTATAGTATGATCAAAATGTCATGGTATAGTATGTTACCATTTTTTAATATTTTTTATTAAAAAAATTATAATTTTGTATAACAAAAAATGTCATAGTATAGAATAATCAAAATGTCATAGGATTGTATGTTTAAATTTGTGAATATCTACCTTTATTAGTATTTAAAATACCATAGTATATTTTAATCAAAATGCCTCAATATGGTATGGCAAAAAACTTTCAATTTTGTCTGAAAAAAAAAATCACAATTTAGTATTAAAAAATGTCATTGTATAGTATGATCAAAATGTCATAGGATTGTATGTTAAAAATGTTCAATATTTTTGTCTGAAAAAAAAATCACAATTGAGTATTAAAAAAATTTCATATTATAGTATGATCAAAATGTCATGGTGCAGTATGTTAAAATATGTCAATATTTTTGTATGAAAAAAAATCATATTTTAGTATGAAAAAAATGTCAAAGTATAGTCTGATCAAAATGTTATTGGATTGAATGTTAAAAATTTCATATTTTTGTATATAAAAAATCTTATTTAGGTAAAAAAAAATTGCATAGTATAGTATTACCAAAATGTCATGGTATAGTATGTTACAAATTTCATATTTGTGAATAAAAAAATATATATTTTGGTATAAAAAAAATGTCATAGTATAGTATGATCAAAATTTCAAAATGAAGGTCAAAATGTTTGTTAAAATTTGTCAATATTTTTGTTTTATAAAATTAATATATCTGTATTTGAAATGTCATAGTATAGTATGATAAAGATGTCATAGGATTGTATGTTAAAAATTTCATATTTTTGTTCAAAAAATGCATATTTTAGTATTTAAAATATCATAGTATAGTATGATCAAAATGTTTTATAAAATATATTATAATACAAAAAATGTCATAGTTAGCTTGTTAATAAGTTTTCATTTTGATATGAAAAAAATAATATTAGAAAGGGAAAAAAATCTCATTGTATAGTATGACAAAAACGTCAAAGTATAATTTGTTAAAAATTTATCAATTTTTAATTTAAAAAATCATCTTTTAGTTTGAATAAAGTCATAGTATAGTATGAGAAAAACGTCATAATATAGTATGATAAAAATGTCATTGTATGGTTCAATGAAAATATCATAGTATGGTATGATAAAAGTATCATATTTAAGTATGAAAAAAATGTGATAGAATAGAATGTTTAAAAAATCATACCCAAATATGATAAAAAAAAGTCAAAATGTAGTACAAGAAAATGTCATTGTACAGTATGATAAAAATGTCATAGTACAGTATGATTATAAAAAAGCCATAGTATAGTATGCGAAAAATGTCATAGTATGGTACAATAAAAATATCAAAGCATTGTATGATAAAAATATTATTGTATAATATGATAACAAAATGAAAAACAATAGTATGATTTAAAGGTCATAGTAAAGAATGATAAAAAAATTTCATAGAATTACAATAAAAATGTCATTGTATAGTATGATGAAAATATCATAGTATAGCATGATAAAAAATATCATATTATGGTATTTAAAGTCACAGTATAGATCCATAAAAATATCATAGTACAATATGATAAATATATCACAGTATAGTTCTTTCAATTTAACATAATACAGCATGATAAAATAGTATAGTATGTTAATCTAGAAAAGCACTTGGAGTGCACAGACCTCCACCAAGCAGCTCATGTGCCCCCTTTTACTTTTACTTGTCTTTTATTAACTTTTATTTGTTTCAGCATTGAAAATTCCAACGACACCCTTATTTTTGTATGTTCTGGATCACAGTATCCAGAATTTTGTCTGGATCAGGATCAACCTTTGACACCTCATAAAACTCATTGAGATCCTTTTGTGTCATTTTTTACTAAAGACTCTGGACATTTTTATAGAGTTAGATGCAAAAATTCCAAAATGTGCCCGATCTCACAATGATAAAGAATCCTTCAAAAAATTCCTGGATCCAGAAGGCAATCCGGATCACCACCAAAATTTAATGGGATCCTCCTGGGGCTGAGACGCACCTCTGGTGAAAATTTCATTTCAATCCGTCTGTAACTTTCTCCGTAAAGTGCAAGCAAACAAACAAACAAACAAACCAACGCTACCGAAAACATAACCTCCTTGGCGGAGGTAAATATCATAGTAAAGTGAACAGTCATAATACAAGTACTTGCAAAAGAAAATGCAAGTGCTTACTCATTGCGGCTTGACTTCTTTGGGTGCGCAAACGTCGAGACTGATGTGTTGCATGAATTAACTTTGTGTGTGGCTTTAAAATCAAAACCTCTTGTTTTGTTTAAAGCACAGGGTTGGGAAAGGTACAACCAAGCTCCTCTGTCTGTGAGTTTAAAAGGATTTCCTTTTGGAAATTTGCATGCTGTGCCTTCAAACATTTCAATAAGTTTTGCATATTCACCTGCAAAGTTCTGTCGCATTACTGCATTATAGGCCCACACCATTCATACAATTCTATTTAGCAAGAGCCTTCTCTCCATGGGTTTAACTGTAAAAAGGAAGATGTTTTTTGTTTTTACTTGAACATTGTGATGAAGATTTTTAAAGTGCCTTGCAAATCCATTTAATTGTGGATATAATGTATTACAAGAGGAGGGTTCACCCGTCTCTCAGCTCCACACTTCCTCCTCTCTGACCTCCTTTTCTACCTTTTATTTATTTTTTTATTTAACCAGATAAGTCCCATCAAGATCAGGATCTCATTTACAAAGGGGACCTGGGATACTACCTCTCCCTAATCCAACATTTAATCCATGATTCTGTCTTATGCGCACTTGGGCCTCTGTTTGAGGAGGGATTGTACTCCACAGTGGGAGGAGCATGGAGGTGCAGTATCTATATTAATTAAAAGTCAGTCGAACCGATCCGGTCTTTTTCCCCCGGCATCACTCCCTGCTCTCATCCAGTCAATTTTCTTAACTAAACACCAACTTTCTGTCGAGATTATTATTTTCTTTAGTTGAGACCAAAATGCCTCTTGAGTTTGAGTTGTGCCCTGGCAGGATGATTGGAGGGGACCAGCCCTGCTTCATCATTGCTGAAATTGGAATAAACCACCAGGGAGACGTCGAGATTGCAAAGAAAATGATCAAAATGGCAAAGGTAATTAAAATGATGTTTATTGGTTATATTTAAAAAAAAATTAATAAATCACTTCTCTATTCTTACTCTGGCGTCATTGAAACTCAAAAAAACTGTTGGGAGTTAAAAAATACTCTTTTTTTTTCACATTTTTGCCAAGTATTTTCAAATTCCCTGAAAAATTTTCACCTACTAAACTTTTTATCGTCACAGTTTTCAGCAAACCTGATAGTGGCACATCATTCGATCACGCTGTAAATGTTGGAAACTTTTGTGCTGTTAAAACCCAGTCCTTATTCTCTTTACAATCAAGTTTGAAACTTTTTAAAACCAAGGTGATTTTGCGCTGTAGAGTAAAGGCAATTTATACAGATAAGTCATATTAAAATTGCTTTTAATCTGACTTTTCTTGGCAGTCCCCTGTGAACTGATAACCCAGTGAACAAAGCCAGAAGTAAAATATTGATAACTTTGAGTTTTAACATCTGAAACAAGTTACTATTATGCAAAATAACTTGTTTTATAATTTATATGCTATTATTTAAGTGTAATTTTTAATGCATTAGTGTGTCAGTTACTTTACTATTGCAGCTGATAAATGTGTCCTGCAGCATGCAATGAAGATAAGCCGACACAATATCAGAATTCATCATACTTGCATTGGTGATGATCATCTGGAAAAAGGCTTGTCGCTAAACTAAAGGAGTTTGATAGACTGAGAGGAGTCCGAAGTCCAGTTTGGTGCTCTGTTCTGTGAAGCTGTTGTTTCTGTGTTTTATAACACGATTGTTCGGCTTGTGTTCCCCGGTTATTACGCGTTTCAGTGTCCCGAGCTCTGAGGTCGTTCACTCTGGCTGCACATCATTAAAGCGGACTCCTGACAAACTCACCTTGGGGATTGAAACTCTCTTATGATCATAAAATCATGACAAGCCCCAAAAAAAACCTGGCTTGAGATAGCGATCAGTAAAAGTTTAATATAAACCCTCAGGACTATAAAAACCTGAGTGACCGCAGGAACCAGACAAATGAATAAGGGAATCCACAAAACAGACTGTAAAATTCATGTAACATTAACTCAGGAGTGAAAGTTAGTGTTCAGGTGGAGATCAATAACCCCTCAGGCTCAGTCTTACTCTTGTTACCTGAATGGAGCTTTGGGAAAAAAAAAAAAAGAGGATGATGGATATTTTTTCTAATACCAGGATATGTACAATGAGGAGTGTCTGCTAAACAAATGCAAAGATTTTCAAGGCAAATAAGACGAACAGGCAAATAGGATTAAATTAGGCTCACTCACTGCAGTTTGCATTTTAAAGGGAAACTGGGGATATTCACTTGTGATGCCAGAGACAGAGCTTAAGTCACCTGTCTTTACATATCAACGTTCGGATTGTTATCTAGTTTTTTTGCATGAAGGTTAAAGTAAAACCCGCTCAATTACACTTGGACACACACAACTACTTCTGCTTTTATTGTGAAATAAAGAGTTGATGGGGAAATAAGAGAACTTAAATAAAATTCACCGAAGAGGAAGGACCAAGAAGTAACACATACCAAATCCCACTTTCTTTCTTTTACTCATTTATCAGGAGGTGGCCGGGAGGTGGTTACAGCCATCCCGAAATATCAAAACCTTGATTTGCTGAGTTGGATTTACGGCTGATGTTTAAACATCTCAGGCGGAACATTTTCTTGGTCTGTGTCGCCACTCTGTTGAGCTACCTTTAAAAGTGACGTTTCTAAGCTTAAAGTTATAAGTGTATAACTGTAAGATCAGGAAAGGTGAACAGTTCTGACAGTAGGAACTAGAAAAGCACTCGGAGAACGCAGACCTCTGCCAAGCAGCTCATGTCCCCCCTTTTATTGTGATTCACACCAAAACGTTTACTGTTTTTTTACTGTCTTTTATTAACTTTTATTTGTGTTTAAACTGGTATGTTCACTGTTCATAATGTTCCTAAAACAAGAAATCCCCTGACCCGGATTCAAACCCAGGACCTTCTTGCTGTGAGGCGACAGTGCGAACCACTACACCACTCTGCCGCCCATTGGTTACCTTTCAGCATTGAAAATTCCAACCACACCCTTATTTTTGTGTGTTCTGAATCACATTATCCAGAATTTTGTCTGGATCAGGATCAACCTTTGACACCTCATAAAACTCATTGAGATCCTTTTGTGTCATTTTTTACTAAAGACTCTGGACATTTTTATAGAGTTTGATGCGAAAATTCAAAAATTTGCCCTATCTCACAATGATAAAGAATCCTTCAAAAAATTCCTGGATCCAGAAGGCAATCCGGATCACCACCAAAATTTAATGGGATCCTTCTGGGGCTGAGACACACCTCTGGTGAAAATTTCAGGTCAATCCGTCTGTTACTTTCTCTGTAAAGTTGCTAACAGACAAACAAACAAACGCTACCGAAAACATAACCTACTTGGCGGAGGTAATAAAAGGAGAGTGTGATCCAGCTGTTAATTACAGCCGGAGCACAAAACAAGGGACCCAGTTTAGAAAATTCCCCTTGTTGGGGCGTACACGCATCAATAAATCAAATGAAAAAGGAAGTTGTAAACTGCATTTCTGGAATCAGCAGTATCAGTCGACAGATTAGTTTGCAGGAGTTGCTCCATAATAAAAAGGATCTTTGGCCTTGTTGTAAACCGTAGACTGAATGAGGTTTGGCTCGCCTTTCATGGCATAATGGGTCCAATAGCTGCTGTATTCACATGTGACGTGCAGTTAAAAAAAGCTCAATAAAGCACCTGGAAAAGAAAAGAGGACCCGTTTTGTGAACAAATTGGTGGTTGTTTTGATATTTTCCAAAAAGAACAGCATTATTTCGGGGAAGGTGCTCTGAGTGGTTATTTGTGTTGAGGTGAAATCACAATTTTGATCGTTCAAGTCGTGATCCATTTCACTTTAAGGCCGTATATTCTTAAGCCCTACTGTACCTTCTTTCACAGGACTGCGGTGCAGATTGCGCCAAATTTCAGAAGAGTATTTTAGAGTACAAATTCAACAAGAGAGCCTTGGAGCGCCCGTACAATTCGAAACACTCCTGGGGGGCAAGCTACGGTGAGCATAAGCGCCACCTGGAGTTCAACAAAGAGCAGTACGAGGAACTGCAGAAATATGCAAATGAGGTGGGGATCTTCTTCACCGCTTCAGCGATGGATGAGGTGAGAAAAAAACGGTAATTAACCTTTTTTTAACAGTTCAGTATGAGTTCAAGTTTAATCTCGGTTTATTCTGTCTTTAGATGGCGGTGGAGTTCCTGGATGATATGAATGTGCCGTTCATCAAAGTGGGCTCTAATGACACCAACAACTTCCCCTATCTGGAGAAAACTGCCAAGACAGGTGCAAACTCTCATATCTGATACGATGTCTGGAGTTTAACCAGGTGTGCGTTTTTTGGACTGGTTTAAGGTTGAAGAAAAGGTGAAAGCTCAGCTGGACTCAGTGTTGTCCTGTCTTTTCTCAGGGCGGCCCATGGTGGTGTCCAGCGGCATGCAGTCGTTGGAGACGATGCGCAAAGTTTACAAAACGCTGAAGAAACACGACGTAAACTTTACCATCCTGCAGTGCACCAGCTGTTACCCTCTGGAAGTTCAAGATGTTCACCTCAGAGTTATACCGGTGAGAAGAGTTATACGATTAAAGACCTTTAAAATAAAGCATCTCTCTAGGTCGTCCTCAGACGAGCCTTCCATCGTCGCTTCCGGTCATCCCGATTCTCCGTACATCTCGCCAGTTCGTTGGTACTCTGAGCTCCTGCATCCTTCTTGAGTATGTCCACGTATGTTAGTGTAGGACGTCCTCTTGACAGATGCCCATGTGTTGGTTCCAACAGCACCAATTTGCTGGCTGGCAGTTCCTGATGCCGTTGGCAGTGTCTTCTCGCTCACCCTTGGTATTCCCTCGTACAGTTTTCTGTTGGTTACATGTGTGTTCTGCTGATGTTAAGTACTGCACGCAACATCCTGGTGTAGCACCCATCCAGGGATTTCTCCAGGGTTGGCTTCATTTTAGGGGTTTAGATTGGGTACCTGTTGACAGCTTTGTATATAAAATATTCACAATAAAAGATTCATTTGACTTTTAAAAATTGGCAAGGTGACCGTCTTTGTCAACAGACACTACCCAAGTATGTAGACGTCAAGATAAGCAAAGATTGCTTTGTCCACAGGGGGCGCCAGAACTGACACAAATCAAAAGTTCCCCACAGGAGCTTTAAAAAGTTTATGGTAATGGTTTAGTCTGAAGGAATGGATTTTGTTATCACTGGACAACAAAGTCTTTGTGGATTCCCTCGATTGTCGTCTGTATGCTAAGCTAAGCTAACTGACAGCTGGTTGCACGGTAAATTGATACCAGCACTTGTCACTTGCAGGAATACCAAAAGGAATTTCCAGACATTCCCATCGGATACTCCGGTCACGAGTCTGGGATCGGTATTTCAATCGGAGCTGTAGCCATGGGGGCAAAGGTTCTGGAGCGCCACGTCACCTTCGACAAGACGTGGAAAGGAAACGATCACGCCGCCTCTCTGGAGCCCTCTGAGCTCGCCGAGATGATTCGCTCCATCAGGGCGTTAGAATTAGCGTTTGGAAACGGCTACAAACAGATATGGCCGTGTGAGGAGCCGTTCCGCCGTAAGGTAAGCTATCCTCCCACCGTGAGAAAGGACATCGAAATATGAGCCACATGTGATTTTAACATCTCCCTCTTTACTCCTTATCGTTTAGCTGGGTAAGTCAGTGGTCGCCAGAGTTAAAATCCCCAAAGGAGAAACTCTGACTGAGAAGATGCTGACGGTGAAGGTGGCGGAGCCTATTGGCATCCCAGCTGAGGAAATCTACGAACTGCTTGGTAAGACTGTGCAGCAGGACATCGAGCAGGACGATAGCGTCTTACCTGAGATGGTGGAAAACTACTCCAAGAAGGCCAAGCACTGAAGAAAACAGAGAGTCGAGGAAGGGGTGAAAAAGAAGGGCTTTTAATTTGAAAGGAATTTAATGAGGCACTTTTTTACTTTGTTGAGGTCAAGGGAGGTAATTTTTTTCTTTATTTAACCCTTTGTTTTCCAAGAGATGATTTAGTGATTATTTAAATACTGAGACCAAAGTCAAGTTTGTCGACTGGTTCAGGTGAAAAAATTAAAAAGAAATGACAGCTAGATTAAACACTTACAGTTAATGTCCATGCACTCATGCACAGGGGTTTTATAAAGGGTTTGTGTGATTTTCTTTGCCTAATGCACACTCATGTCAGTTGTTTTGAACCGGGATTTCACTGCTTTTTCACAAATAGTATCCTCTAATTGTACTTTTGGGGAGTCGATTGTTACATCTCACGTTTGAATATTGGGGTCATCACTGGATCTATGGAAATGTCGAATATTTGGGGAAAAATGAAATACTCAAATAAAATATTGACTGAATGTCTTATTTGTTGTTTTACTTCTCTATTGGACCAGAGCGACTTGCTCTACATTTTCAATGACTCCCATTAAAATGTGTGTCCTATTATGAAGCACAAAATACCACATCAGCTGAGGTGGTCCATCAAGCAAGAATGTGCAAGAATTCACCTCTTAAGCCTCAACAGTTAGTGTCCTCCATCCACAAAGACTTACTGACTGTTGCTCAAACACAGCAGCAGACATGACCCTGAACCAGCTTTTGAGGGACGTGTTGCAGTGTCAAATTCAAAGTGAATGAATATTTGCAAAAATAAACTGTTAAGTCGATCAGTTTGAACACTTAATATCTCGTCTTTTTAGTGGATTCCATTAAACGTCGGTGGAAAAGGGTTTGCAAGTAATTGTACTTTGTTTTTATTCACATTTACCTTCACTGGATTTGGGGTTTGCAAACACAGCCCAGCTTGGTGAAGAGTCTCTAAACTACCAGCAGAGGTCCCCATATCTCGCTGTAAGGGGGTTAAACGTTGCTGTGGTCTTTAATGAAAATAAGGAGGGACAAGAAGAGTCATGCTCATTCAGAGAACAACACAAATACGTACAATAAACTATATTTCTGTTTCATTTGGCTTTACTGGCTGATTTCCCGGCAATCATGGGGATATAAGGTCATCTTCAGATGTGATTATGACTCCTACCATTTCACTGAATTTACATTTAGAGTCATGACCATAAGCCGTCATGACGACCAATTAAATGAACTTCTCAGAGAGAAAATAACCCTTTTGTTTATTCTTGACTATAAAGTTAAAATGGCAGAACTTTACACAATGACATCAAGAGGATCTCGGTATTGACAGGAGCAGTGAGGCTTAAAAGTTTTTAAGAGATTCCAGAGCTTTAGTCAGACCTGTTGAACAGCCGCCTCCTCTCGCCTGCTGTAAATGTGGTGGATGAAATGTCACGAGTTGTGAAATCAAAGATTAAGTGGGTTGATTGAAAGTACACATTTGTTTGTTCCTTGGTCTAGGTCCCAACAAGTGAAGCGATGATTGTTCTTTAGTGCCAAATGTACATGTTTAAAGTCTAAATCTGCTGCTTTGAGCTTCGTTCAACCCTAACCCACTCCCATTGCCTCTGGGGTATTCATAGACTGTATAAAACATAAATGTAGCCTCAGTGATGCCACCCATTGGCCTCTGAAGTGAACTCTTAACCCTAATGGTTGCTGCCTGTGACTTGATTTCCCTTTCATGGGCAGCTACCATGACCAGAATAAATGATGAAAGTGATAAGACGTGTTTTATCACTCATGTCATCACAAGCATGTGTGACTTTATGTGCTCTGCTAGTTTCTTTTGTCTGAGCTGCGATCAGCTGGCAGGAAATAAAAGGTTCGACTTGAAACTAGTGATATGATCTAAAAATCCACTTTGGTGCAGCCAAAAATGATACCAGAAGTCTAGCCTGGAGGTGCAGCTCACAAAATCAGGGAGCTCTCACACCTATGTCGTTTGGTCCAGACTTTCAGACTTTTCTGTTTGGTGTGAAACCTCCCCTGGACCCTGGTCTACCCAAAAGAAGTGGTCTCAGTCTGGACCAAACTGAACCACGGTCTGGTTCAGGCCCAGTGTGGAGGCATTATTTTGAAGAGTTCGGACCTTCGTTTCAAAGACAGGAAATGACGTGTGGAGTACTAGAGTCCGTTATTATGTCGAATAGAAATTGTCCAAGAACAGGAAATGTTTTGATATTGTAGATCACGTTATACCTCACTATTAACAGCTTATCTTTAACAACACAGACTTTCTCTCCCGCAGTGGCTCGCAGGATTGAATACTTTCTTCCCCTTTCCTGTCGACCACGATAAAGTTATCATGTAATGATAAAATTGATAAAATTGTGTAGTTGTCGCTGTTGGTAGTAGAAAATCAACAATAATACGATCGAGGGAATGACGATTTCATTCATGTTTATGACACCCAAGACCTGCGTTGCCAAATGACCAATCAATATAAACTACAGAGACATCCAAAGATGAGAATATCACCTAGGTTCGTCATGTACAGTCTGTTGGTCCGTTTGCAGTAAAGTCAGTGTGAAAGCTAAACTGTCTGAACCAAATGTTAACAATAATGATGATGGCTTACAGCGGACAAAAATCACAGATCCTAAAGCTCAACGCTGCTGTTGGTCTTCTGTGTTTTATCAAGTCCAGCCTGAAGTCTACCTTTAGAGTTTAGAGACCTTCATCTGCTGAGAGGCTTTATGAAGACACACATTTCCCTTTTCAGCAAGACCTAGTACCTGCCCACAACGCCAAAACTACCAGAAACTGGTTTGCCATCCATCTTATTGGCCAGCCAGTGGTCTGACCTGAACCCCGTTGAGGATCTCTTGGGTATCATCAAGAGACAGATCAGAGACACCAGAGCCAACAACGCTTGCATACACACCCTTTACATCTTTACAGACAGGTTCTATGCATCCTACAAGTAGAGATAACAGCCTTAAGCGTCGACAGTCAACCAATGCAGCCCTCTTGATTACCCCTCCAACCATACATTCACACAGAGGGGTTCCAATAAGATTATTCTATGAAAAACAGGTTGTCCCACACATGTCATATATGACGTATGATATATGACATATGAGAGAGGTATTTATATGACTGCCACCTGTCTAACAAGTGCCACACACAGACGGTTCTGGCATTTCAGCGTATGGATTGATTAAGAGTATTTCCACAGAGCAGGAGGCCCACTGAAGGAACTCCTGGCTGGTGAGTGAAGGTTTCTCTTTGTCATGGACTCTGAATGTAACTCAACCATAATGTGCAAACACATATAAAGCATCTGTGCTTTTTGAAGTGAGTGTTTTAACATACAGTGTAAGCTTTCTTTCATTCAAAGCTATTTCAGATGTGAAGACGTCAGGCTGCGGTGGTTTGAGGAGGAGTGTTAGCATCGATGTGCGTGTTGTTACAGCTGCTGTCCATGGTTCTGATTGTTGTCTAGCTCCTGCACAGAGTCACGGCAGAAAATAACACGGGACTTTCTAAATGTTTGAAGTGACCCTCGCTCCAGGACCAAATGTGACTTTGACAATTTAACGCTTACGAACAAGCAGATCAGCTAAACTTCACGCTCAGGAGATGGATGTTGTGACAGTAGTAGCGTAAATGTAGTCGAGACGTTTGTGGTTGATTACTATCGCAATCACAATCTACATACTTTGCCTGCCTGTGTGATAAAGACAGATGAGCTCCCTCACTGAAAGAGCAGCGACACTGCTGATCATAAAACACAGCCACAGCGTACCTTGTAGTCTGTTCTTCATTTGGTTAAACAAACATTTATTTCTTGACCCCACAATGGCCCATAACCGCCATCTGCCCCAGTACAGTCCCCGGCTTGTTCGCCTTAGATACAAGATTGGCACCATGAGGAAAACAAGCGTTAAGATACAATTTACACTGTTTGTTGGGATTTTCGACTACTTTACAGTGTAAACAGAAACAAGAGTTTTACTCAAATAGAAACCTTCTCTCTTTGTAAAACAAGCGGCAACTTCCAGTCTTGAGAAATGAAGTCGTTGAAGGGATGTCAAACCTTGCAGGAGTGCCAGAAACCACGTTCACACTGAGCAATGTAAATCAGTTTTTACATATTTTACAGACTGTTCCCAAAATCGGTTCACTCAAAGTTCCTGAGGTGAATTTTTTAAAACGAGCTTGTGTCAAAGTTATTGAGGTCATACGATCTGCGAATCAGAGGCACACTGCAGGCAAGAGGCCAGTTTACTGATATGGGAACTGATCGGCTTCAAAGCTCATCGTCCAGTTATTAACGCACACACATATTTAGTGGTTATAAATCAAAACCACTCCTTAAAATCCCAGGCTTATTTTTAATGCACACACCCTCAAAAGTTCAGTAATCAATGCAACGTATCAAGACCTTGACCATCCAGTCTGACCTGTTCAACACAATCCACCTTCCTACAGGTGAGAATGTTTTTTTAAGTGGGTCTCAATGAGGAACTTGTTTGTACAAAGCTACAAATTTGTCTTTTGTTCTGTTGATAAAACAGTCTGAAACCTCTTTTGTAACTGTCAAGAAAACAATCGCTGAAGGATTAAAACAGGCATGGACAGGTGGGACAGGATTCAGATGTAACACGCTGAAATGTTTCCAGAGGTGTGGTGCAACGCCATTAGATTTCTTTTTACACGCAGTGTTATCCTGTCTTCATCTAGATCTCATGTTATATAAGCGTATGTTATCGTGTAAGAGTTTATTCAAGACTCAGAGAAATGAAGAGAAAAGAGGTTTGTCTATTTTTCTAAACGCTGATCTGAAGAATCTCTGTTTTCAAAAGGTGGACTGGGGGACCGAGCGTCAGTTTGGATTCAAGGTGTCAGTGTTACTCTAGTTGCGATGTTCCTTATCACATCCAGTGATGAGGAAGTATATGTGTGTGTGTGCGTGTGCGTGTGCGTGTGTGTGTGTGTTTGTGCCAGTTTCCACACCA